AGTGGGCGCACTGCTGGGCGGAACTTGCGGGTGTCACTGCTGGGCACCGATCATCAGGGCACTGATCATCAGTGCCCTGATGATCGGTGCCGATCCCCGCTCTGACAACTGCTGGTTCTCGGCAGTACTTTCCTCATGATCTGACAGCGTGAGGAAAGTGCAGCCGAGAACCGGCACTTGCATTTCCCTGTGATCAGCGTGTCATTGGACACCGCTGATCACGTGGTAAAAGGCCGGTGGGATCGGCCTTTCACCACATCACGTGATCAGCTGTGTCCGTAGGACACAGCGATCACGGAGATCGCCGGGTGCGCGACCCCTGGGGCGCGCAGGAGAGCGCGTTCTGGGAGGACGTCATATGACGTCCACTCAGAACTGGCCGGCCGCGGTGAAGCCGTCATTCGGCTATGCGCGGTCGGCAAGAAGTTAACAAAATGGTCCATCTTGTATATTACCAATTCTCCAAGGGGAGTCAAATGTTTGAGCACAACTGTATATTCACAATGTAAATGTAGTCACTAAGCATTTAAAATACAGGATTTACAAGGCTTTGTTGTGCTCGATGGGCATCTGCTAGGATACGTGGTGTTATGTAAAGTGTTCCTTGCCAGGTGGACATTTTATCTTCCAGGTAGGAAGACAGTTTTTGGAAAGCCATTGTTTGCCTCAATCCAGTTCAACTTTCTTTATGCTGAGGGTCGTAGGTGTTCCCGACCCCATCGATTGTGACTGGAGTCACTTTGGGTGGGGGGCTCATGGAACCCAGCTTACTTTGCAGAGGTGGGGAGACCCCTGTCTCAGCTCCCCATATCCCTCTTTAGTGCAAGTCATCTCTCAGGGGCTCAGGGTGACTGATGGACGCTGAGAATGCGGTTGGAATGACTTCAGATGGGACAGTAATATTTATCAGTCATATGAAGACTATTCCTGAATGTTGATTCTGTACTAGAAGTGAATTGAAGGAGCTGATCACGCCGGGCTCTCCTCTACTCCACTGTAGGACCTTGACCGTCTGCTCTGTAGTGAGATCCTAATTCATCCAACCATTGTCTAGGTGTGATTCCCATTCACCTTTTGTTTCCATCACCCAGCTAGCTGACCTAATGAAATTACTGAGTGTTCAGTCTATTCCTGTATATAGCTGTGTGTGCATATGATCATGTGATCGGTCTCAGTGTGTATTGTATGATCATGTGATCGGTCTCAGTGCGTATTGTACGATCGTGTGATCGGTCTCAGTGTGTATTGTATGATCGTGTGATCGGTCTCAGTGTGTATTGTATGATCATGTGATCGGTCTCAGTGTGTATTGTATGATCATGTGATCGGTCTCAGTGTGTATTGTATGATCATGTGATCGGTCTCAGTGTGTATTGCATGATCATGTGATCGGTCTCAGTGTGTATTGTACGATTGTGTGATCAGTCTCAGTGTGTATTGTATGATCATGTGATCGGTCTCAGTGTGTATTGTATGATCATGTGATCGGTCTCAGTGTGTATTGTGCGATCGTGTGATCGGTCTCAGTGCGTATTGTACGATCATGTGATCGGTCTCTCAGTGTGTATTGTGCGATCGTGTGATCGGTCTCAGTGCGTATTGTACGATCATGTGATCGGTCTCAGTGTGTATTGTGCGATCGTGTGATCGGTCTCAGTGCGTATTGTACGATCATGTGATCGGTCTCAGTGTGTATTGTATGATCATGTGATCGGTCTCAGTGTGTATTGTATGATCATGTGATCGGTCTCAGTGCGTATTGTATGATCAAGTGATCGGTCTCAGTGTGTATTGTATGATCATGTGATCGGTCTCAGTGCGTATTGTATGATCATGTGATCGGTCTCAGTGCGTATTGTACGATCGTGTGTGATCGGTCTCAGTGTGTATTGTACGATCGTGTGATCGTCTCAGTGCGTATTGTACGATCGTGTGATCGGTCTCAGTGTGTATTGTACGATCGTGTGATTGGTCTCAGTGCGTATTGTACGATCGTGTGATCGGTCTCACTGTGTATTGTACGATCGTGTGATTGGTCTCAGTGCGTATTGTACGATCGTGTGATCGGTCTCAGTGTGTATTGTACGATCGTGTGATCGGTCTCAGTGCGTATTGTACGATCGTGTGATCGGTCTCAGTGCGTATTGTACGATCGTGTGATCGGTCTCAGTGTGTTTTGTACGATCGTGTGATCGGTCTCAGTGTGTATTGTATGATCATGTGATCAGTCTCAGTGCGTATTGTATGATCATGTGATCGGTCTCAGTGTGTATTGTATGATCATGTGATCGGTCTCAGTGTGTATTGTATGATCATGTGATCGGTCTCAGTGCGTATTGTATGATCATGTGATCGGTCTCAGTGTGTATTGTATAAAAAGCCCCTTTGAGTTTAGAATAAAGAGTTCCAGTCCTGTATGGTCGGCTGTGGTGTCTGTTGTCAGTGTTCAGACAGACTTGTGTCTTGTAGTTTTGTATGGTCGTCTGTGGTGTCTGTTGTCAGTGTTCAGACAGACTGGTGTCTTGTAGTCCTGTATGGTCGGCTGTGGTGTCTGTTGTCAGTGTTCAGACAGACTGGTGTCTTGTAGTCCTGTATGGTCGTCTGTGGTGTCTGTTGTCAGTGTTCAGACAGACTGGTGTCTTGTAGTTTTGTATGGTCGGCTGTGGTGTCTGTTGTCAGTGTTCAGACAGACTTGTGTCTTGTAGTTTTGTATGGTCGGCTGTGGTGTCTGGTCGGTGTTCAGACAGACTGGTGTCTTGTAGTCCTGTATGGTCGGCTGTGGTGTCTGTTGTCAGTGTTCAGACAGACTGGTGTCTTGTAGTTTTATATGGTTGGCTGTGGTGTCTGTTGTCAGTGTTCAGACAGACTGGTGTCTTGTAGTCCTGTATGGTCGGCTGTGGTGTCTGTTGTCAGTGTTCAGACAGACTGGTGTCTTGTAGTTTTATATGGTTGGCTGTGGTGTCTGTTGTCAGTGTTCAGACAGACTGGTGTCTTGTAGTTTTGTATGGTCGGCTGTGGTGTCTGTTGTCAGTGTTCAGACAGACTTGTGTCTTGTAGTTTTGTATGGTCGGCTGTGGTGTCTGGTCGGTGTTCAGACAGACTGGTGTCTTGTAGTCCTGTATGGTCGGCTGTGGTGTCTGTTGTCAGTGTTCAGACAGACTGGTGTCTTGTAGTTTTGTATGGTCGGCTGTGGTGTCTGTTGTCAGTGTTCAGACAGACTGGTGTCTTGTAGTCCTGTATGGTCGGCTGTGGTGTCTGTTGTCAGTGTTCAGACAGACTTGTGTCTTGTAGTTTTGTATGGTCGTCTGTGGTGTCTGGTCGGTGTTCGGACGGGGAAGCGGTATTATAACGGAAGTACTCAGGCGCAGTCTGGGTCGGTCCCGTTACATCAATAACCTGTTTTTTGGCAGTGAATAGATGGATCAATAAAGGTATATTTATCACCTCCATTGGGCTTGGGTTTCAGTAAGGCTTGCTATGGGTATTTGTAGACGGGTCACCCATATAGGTGGTATATAGGTGGTATATAGGTGGTATATGGGTGGTATATAGGCGGTATATAGGTGGTATATAGGTGGTAGACAATATGGCAGACCTTAGTCCACAATTTTCATTCCTTTTTTTTTTTAATTGATTTTGGGTTTTGTAAAATACAGGATAAGAATGTTGGTTGAGCTCCAGAGAGGGTCCCATCCCCTGCAGAGGAAGTAAGGATTGGCAGAGACAATGTTGTTACACAGTTAGACCAAACATGTCATCATAAAATATAACGAGGTAAATGCTAGTATCTAGGAGTATGGAAACATGGATGGACTACCTCAGGGGGAGGGAAGGGGTTTTCAATCACCCTAAAAGGGGCCAGAGCAGCATAGAGAAAAGCAATACCATTTGTATATTATTTTGGTGCCTCCAATGTAGAAGAAACAATAAAGAAAGGAAATATATTGAAATCTAATAAAATAAATAAAGTAATAGAGACCTTGGAATTGAGACCATTCGGCCACAGATGGATGAAGGTGCCTCTTCCTAAACAGGCACAGGAGCAGGTGGGGGGGTAATGAGAGATGAAGCTAGACAGGCACCTTGGTGTGTAGTACCAGCGTTTTAGCACTTTGTAATTGGATTATTCCCTAGACTGCCAGATCTGTGCTCAGGCTTCATCCTCCAGCGAGAAGCCAAAATCAGATTCTTTTTTGGTTGGGTACTTGGGTGGAGATGTGAAGACATGGTTTAAGAGGGATGGGTAAGTCTCTGAGAATAAGCCTGGGGGAGCGAGGGATGGGTCATCTTTGCATTTCTGTTCATAGACTGTAAGGCAGACGTGTGCAATTGAATAGGAGATAATTGATGGCAGGAAGGGTTTCCAAATTGTCAGAAAACAAGAATGGGGGCCACTTATGAGCCTCTTGGAGGGTCTGGAAGGATTGAAGGCCAGTGAGGGTAATCAACATTTGTAGGTTTAGAGAAAAAAGCTTGAAAAGTCCCAGGGAGGTATAATCAAGGGAAAAGGACGAATTGCTAAGAAAAGAGAGGTGTGTCAAATATGAGAGTCATCACCTACGCAGGAGGCTGGTTTCATCCCAAATACTAGGAAATTACGAAGTGATTGCATCGGTAACGGGTTCTATGTTAAGGTGGAAGCCAGAAGAGATCGGAGATGTCCATAGGACTGCAATCTGTGGCATCAATTATTACCCACAAGGGCTTCATCAGTGAAGCAGAGTTTTAAGTCAGCTGAGCAACTTCTGATGCTTGACTGTCTTTGGTTATAGATGGTATTCCTAGGCCAGCTTGGATTTTGGATCACAGCATTGTGACAAATATGGTGGGCTGGTGGATCTATGAAAGGGATGAATTGAAGACCACACCTCCGGTCCCAACCTCTGACTGTGCAGGGGAAGTATGTGCAGAAGGGGAGTGTGGGGGGTATGACAGTGGGCAGTATGTACAGGAGAGGAGTGTGGAGGGTATGACAGTAGGCAGTATGTACAGGAGAGGAGTGTGGAGGGTGTGACAGTAGGCAGTATGTACAGAGAGGAGTGTGGAGGGTATGACAATGATCAGTATGTACAGGAGAGGAGTGTGGAGGGTATGACAATGATCAGTATGTACAGGAGAGGAGTGTGGAGGGTATGACAGTAGGCAGTATGTACAGGAGAGAAGTGTGGAGGGTATGACAGTGGGCAGTATGTACAGGAGAGGAGTGTGGAGGGTATAACAGTGATCGGTATGTACAGGAGAGGAGTGTGGAAGGTATGACAGTGATCAGTATGTACAGGAGAGGAGTGTGGAGGGTGTGACAGTGACCAGTATGTACAGGAGAGGAGTGTGGAGGTATGACAGTGATCGGTATGTACATAGAGGAGTGTGGAGGTGTGACAGTGATCAGTATGTACAGGAGAGGAGTGTGGAGGTATGACAGTGGGCAGTATGTACTGAAGAGGAGTGTGGAGAGTGTGACAGTGATCAGTATGTACAGGAGAGGAGTGTGGGAGGTATGACAGTGGGCAGTATGTACAGGAGAAGTGTGGGAGGTATGACAGTGGGCAGTATGTACAGGAGAGGAGTGTGGGGGGTATGAAAGTGATCGGTATGTACAGGAGAGGAGTGTGGAGGGTGTGACAGTGATCGGTATGTACAGGAGAGGAGTGTGGAGGGTATGACAGTGGGCAGTATCTACAGAAGAGGAGTGTGGAGGGTATGACAGTGATCGGTATGTACAGGAGAGGAGTGTGGAGGGTATGACAGTGGTCAGTATCTACAGGAGAGGAGTGTGGAGGGTGTGACAGTGATCGGTATGTACAGGAGAGGAGAGTGAAGGTATGACAGTGATCGGTTGGTATGTACAGGAGAGCAGTGTGGAGGTATGACAGTGATCAGTATGCACAGGAGAGCAGTGTGGAGGTATGACAGTGATCAGTATGCACAGGAGAGCAGTGTGGAGGGTGTGACAGTAGACAGTATGTACAGGAGAGGAGTGTGAAGGTATGACAGTGATCAGTCGGTATGTACAGGAGAGGAGTGTGAAGGTATGACAGTGATCGGTCGGTATGTACAGGAGAGGAGTGTGGAGGTGTGACAGTGGGCAGTATGTACAGGAGAGGAGTGTGGGAGGTATGACAGTGATCGGTCAGTATGTACAGGAGAGGAGTGTGGGGGTATGACAGTGATCGGTCGGTATGTACAGGTGAGGAGTGTGGGGGGTATGACAGTGATCGGTATGTACAGGAGAGGAGTGTGTGACAGTGGGCAATATGTACAGAAGTACAGAGAAGTTTAATTTAATCTCCATATTTGTTACCATGAGGGAGTTACATCCATAAAATATAATTGCACCGATGGTGGGGCAATGAGTTGGACACCAAACACATCTCTGCAATTATGTCCAGACAGCTAATAGGATACATCCGACCTCCTCATATACAGATGCCATGTATGTCATATTTGGTCTCTAACAAACTGTGATTTCGTTCTGTCCACAATAATCTTTTGCTTTTCAGATTGTGAAATTATAGATATCGTTAGGACAATTGTCTTTGAAGCAGATCTTCAGCCTGTAGAAGTCCTGGGAAACTTTGCGCTCCTCTCCCCACCCGCAATATAAAATGGAGAATCATTTTTATCTTTCTGTAATTGTTCTTTTTTTTCTTCACTGTTTCTGCCTGCCTAAGCCAATATTTCCAGCTCTATCTATCATTTCAGATGACAAGTTTTCACAAAATGAACAATATCAGTGAAGAGTGTTTTGCTGGTTTTTCTTTTTATAATCTCCTATGTATAGAAGACTTCCTAATATTATTTGGTGCACGGAGCTGACTCAGGATTTTCATTGTTCTGATGAGTCTCAGCAGGAGAGGAGATTCCCGGATCGGGAATATCTCTGGAAGATATCGGACAAATCCAGCTTTCGTTTTCTGCACGTCAGATTCGGCTCGACTCATCACTTACACGTCTCTTTATATCAATGACTTTTCCATAGCCTTTCACCCAGTGAATCTGTATGTACATTCACCTCCGTGTGAATTGGGCCGATTCATTACAAATTTGCTTGAGGGGGATCAGGAGAATGACTGGCATTTGATGTGTATGCAGTATACGCACTGATTCACACTGCAATTGGATTTATACGCATTTTAATTGGTTATTTATTTTGAGTATTGCACAGGTATTTCAGCATTTTATGGCACGACATCTTATGGTACATTATGCTCGATGTTGTACAAGATCGATCTATTGCAGGACTGTGTCATTTATATTATTCGCACTTTACAGAGCAGCACCGGCTGTACTGATATTATTATCGCACACCGCTTTCCAAAGCAGCAGCACAGTGGCTACATGGTTAGAGCTTCTGCCTGGCAGTACTAGGATCGTTGGTTCAAATCCCAACCATGGCACCACCTGCCTGGAGTTTGCATGTTCTCCCTGTGCCTGCGTGGGATACCTCTCACACACTTGCTGGTAGGTTATTTGGATCTTGTCTAAATTGGCCCTATTATGTATGAATGTGAGTAAGCCCACATGGAAGAAAAATAAATGTTAAAAATATATTGACATACATTGGAAATACTACAATGTGGGCCGTATTCAATATATTTAAATAAATAAATAATAATATAATTAAAAAAAAATTATATATATATTAAAATTATATATATGTCAATATATTTGGGAAGAATATTTTTAAAATTTATTTTTCTTCCATCTAAAAATACACTTCAACATACAATATATATATATATATATATATATATATATATATATATATATATATATATATATTTATATTGTATGTTGAAATGCATTTTTTATATATTACAAACTATATGAAAAATATTTGTAAAAATACATTTTCAAATACACTGTGTTTTTAAAAATACATTTAATCTGCATTTTTTTGGAATGCATTTACAAATATATGTAAAAATATATGTTAAAATGACTGTTTTATGTGGTAAAAAAAAATATGGAGTATATTTTAAAAAATTATATTTTTAAAAATATTTTTCATATATTTTGTAATATATAAAAAATGCATTTCAACATACAGTGTGTGTATATATATATATATAAATGAATATGTGTATCTATGTATGTGTGTATATATATATTTTTTTGAAATATATTGAATGCGGACAAAATTGTAGTATTTCAAATACATGTCAATATATTTGGGGAGAATCTTTTTAAAATATATTTCAAATATATTTTTCCTCCATGTGGGAGGGACCTTAGATTGTACGCCCCTTGAGGGCGGGGAGTGACGTGAATGTACAATATATATGTAAAGTGCTGTGTAAATTGATGGCGCTATATAAGTACCTGAAGTAAATAAATAAAGAAGGACAATAGGCATCATGCAGACAGAGGTTATTATGGGGGGCACACGATGTAATAATCTTTAGTAACATTTATTTCCTAGTTCTAGTGATCTCTAGAATTGTTACATTGTAACTCTTTTCATGCTGAAGACCATTCTGAGGTAGCCCCCAGTACATCTAGCCATTTCTTCCCAATGTGCACATAGTGCCCCCCTTTTGGAATATATTACCATATATGTATTTATTTCAGGTACTTATATAGCACCATGAATGTACGCAGCACTTTACATATATATTGTACATTCACATCAGTCCCCACCCCCAAGGAGCGTACAATCTGAGGTCCCTAACTCACATTCATACATACACATACTAGGGACAATTTAGACAGGAGCCAATTCACCTACCAGCATGTCTTTGGAGTGTGGGAGGAAACTGGAGTACCCAGAGGAAACCCACGCAGGCAAAGAGAGAACATGCAAACTCCAGGCAGGTGGTGCCGTGGTTGGGATTCAAACCAATAACCCTCGTACTGCCAGGCGGAAGTGCTAACCATTTAGCCCCTGTGCCGCCCGTATATAGTGTAGCTCCCCTATCTATTCCTTCAGTGATGAAGCCATCGAGGATCAACTTACTACATAAAGGGGTCAATGTATGAAAAAAATAAAAATACAGTGTAATGTTTATATTTCCTATGATACACAGCACCATCTAGTGGTCATAATAAGTTACAGTATATTCTTGAGTGAGGCAATTCAGAAACACAGCAGGAGCCGAGCGCCATGTATAGAAGCAATATTTCTCCTGCTTCTGTGTATGGCAGCTTCCTGCTGTCTCCGGGTCTAAGCACCCGCAGATTCACTACGTACCACTGGTAACACCGGGAATCCCCTCCCCTTTTAGGTAAAGGGGAGGGGATAGCCGTGACATCACTGCCCAAATTTGGCCACTGGCTCAGAATTGTGATGTACCCCAAGGTTCAATGTTGTTAGAGATGTACCCAAAGGGTTAGTGTTATTAGTGGGGTACCCCAAGGATCAGTGTTATTAGTGGGGTACCCCAAGGATCAGTGTTATTAGTGGTGTACCCCAAGGATCAGTGTTATTAGTGGGGTACCTCAAGGATCAGTGTTATTAGTGGTGTACCCCAAGGATCAGTGTTATTAGTGGTGTACCCCAAGGCTCAGTGTTATTAGTGGTGTACCCCAAGGATCAGTGTTATTAGTGGGTACCCCAAGGATCAGTGTTATTAGTGGTGTACCCCAAGGCTCAGTGTTATTAGTGGGGTACCCCAAGGATCAGTGTTATTAGTGATGTACCCCAAGGATCAGTGTTATTAGTGGGGTACCCCAAGGATCAGTGTTATTAGTGATGTACCCCAAGGATCAGTGTTATTAGTGGGGTACCCCAAGGCTCAGTGTTATTAGTGGTGTACCCCAAGGTTCAGTGTTATTAGTGATGTACCCCAAGGATCAGTGTTATTAGTGGGGTACCCCAAGGCTCAGTGTTATTAGTGGTGTACCCCAAGGTTCAGTGTTATCAGTGGGGTACCCCAAGGTTCAGTGTTATTAGTGATGTACCCCAAGGTTCAGTGTTATTAGTTGGGTACCCAAAGGGTTAGTGTTATTAGTGGGGTACCCCAAGGATCAGTGTTATTAGTGGTGTACCCCAAGGATCAGTGTTATCAGTGGTGTACCCCAAGGATCAGTGTGATTAGTGATGTACCCCAAGGATCAGTGTGATTAGTGGTGTACCCTAAGGTTCAGTGCTATTAGTGATGTACCCCAAGGATCAGTGTTATTAGTGGGGTACCCCAAGGATCAGTGTTATTAGTGATGTACCCCAAGGATCAGTGTTATTAGTGGTGTACCCCAAGGATCAGTGTTATTAGTGATGCACCCCAAGGTTCAGTGTTATTAGTGATGTACCCCAAGGTTCAGTGTTATTAGTGGTGTACCCCAAGGATCAGTGTTATTAGTGGTGTACCCCAAGGATCAGTGTTATTAGTGGGGTACCCCAAGGTTCAGTGTTGTTTAGTGATGTACCCCAAGGTTCAGTGTCATTAGTGGGGTACCCCAAGAATCAGTGTTATTAGTGGTGTACCCCAAGGATCAGTGTTATTAGTGGTGTACCCCAAGGATCAGTGTTATTAGTTATGTACCCCAAGGTTCAGTGTTATCAGTGGGGTACCCCAAGGATCAGTGTTATTAGTGATGTACCCCAAGGATCAGTGTTATTAGTGGGTACCCCAAGGATCAGTGTTATTAGTTATGTACCCCAAGGATCAGTGTTATTAGTGGGGTACCCCAAGGTTCAGTGTTATTAGTGATGTACCCCAAGGATCAGTG